CATAGTCTATACAAATGTTGTATTCTCAAGTTTTACATGGTTTAACTATGTACTTTTAAAAAGTATTGATACAGTTCAAGCTAAACAACTGTCTCAGGACATTTTGAGCAGCCTGGGTGCAGGGAGGAGGGTCTTGGACCTGCCTCAACTGCCTCAACTGCCTCAATGTGCCAGGCTCTGCTGACTCCCATGGGAGACCCTGCCTTGGAAGAGCTGGGAATTGGGAATGGGTTGCAGGGGGAAGGCTGAGGGGCAGGAGGAAGGAGGAGAGTGGAGTCTGTGGTTGGTATGTAAAATGAATAGAAAATTTCTTATTAATAATGATAAAAACAAAACAAAACAAAAAAGTATTAATACAAAGATAGGTACCCCTATACTCTATGACATGAGTTAAAATATTTTTAAATTGAATATTTATCTTTAATTATCAAAAATACTCTAGCAATCACAAAAATAATTACTTACCAGACTTTAAAAATGTTCACATGGGATTCATTTACAGGTATTTGTTGAATACCTGCATTGCATCAGGCAATGGTAAAAGATAGGATATTGCAGTGAACTCAATTGAAAATACTTTTGAGTATTTTGATTTTGGAAAATAGATATGTTTTAAAGTTTAAAGCTTGGTCATAGCGCTTTAACAAAGAAACAGAAAAATCACTAACACAGATGTTAGCTGCTATGAAGAATCTGACTGTTCTTTCTTTGGAAAGACTTTAGGACTTTGAACTCAAAATTCAGTTGAATGCTGGAAGCAGGGCTGAATTGTCTGTCCTAGTAGGAGTCTAGAAGACCCATTCTAGCTAAGCTTCACACATTTGAAAGAAAACGTCCTAAAGAATTTTTCACTCCTATAAAGTAACCATGAACAAGAGCTGCTGCTAATGTAGTTAAAGGGAGTAAGGATCCATTCAAATCTGGCAAGCCTCCATGTCATCCTTGTCTTGCTGGCTTTAGAGGCATAGACAACGTAAGATTGAAGGGATTGTGGATTCTACCTGTGTTTCAGAGAGACTCTGCAGCTAGGCAGTATGTGGCAGAGGAGTGCATGAAGGACCTAAAACATCATTACACAAAACTGTGAAAGTAAAGCTTGGGTTAGAGTGGGAATCTCAAGATGTTGATTATCCCAAAACAGCGAGAAATCTGACAAAAAGACCTGTACACATGGAGCCAGCTCAATGGAGAGGTGTGTTTCAGAGGCAGCAAAACTGGAGGGGAAGTGCCATCTAAGACTGTGGACACTGGATATGGAGCTCCTGGATTTGGTGCTTGTCTTTGCTGTATTCAGGTCTGGCTTTGGTCCAGTATTTCCTTATTATCCCCGCCCCCCTCTATTTTAAATTAGCAATGAATATTCTGTGCCAAGATAAATATGATGTATATTATTTTCTTTGTGATTTTTACAGTGGGTTACAATTAAAGGTTTCCTTGAGTCTCCAATGAGATTTGGACTTTTAAATAGTATTATTGAGATTGTCAAAGTCTGAAATTGAACTGAAGTTATTTTAAGTTATGATTTACACATGATCCTATGGGATCCAATGGAATGTGGTGATTTGAAAGTCATAATGTTTCCCCAAAGCCCAAAGAGTTAAACACTTGGACCCCAACTGGTGGCAATGTTGGGGAGGTTGTGGAAACTATAGGAAGTAGAGAGCCTTGCTAGAAAAAGCATGCGACAGAGTTGCTGTTGGCAGGCTTTTAGTGTTTATAGTCTCATTCCACTTCTAGTTCTCCCTTGTATTTGAAGATATGAGCTCTCCCCTGAATGTTCCTGATGCTGTGTCTACCACTTGTTGGCATGTTTCTTTGCCATAATGGGCTCTTATCCCCCTGGAGTCACAAGTCCAAATAAACACTTTTTTCTGTAAATAACCCTGGTCATGGAGCTTTGTCACAGCAACAGAAATTTAACTAATATGAAGTAGTGTATTATTTGCACCCAATATATTTTTGTAAGGTCTGTACATAGCTACTATAAGGTTTAGTATATCTTTTGATGTTCATAGTTCTTTATACTCATAATAAACTTAAAAATTAATAATGACATGTAATGGAAGTAGAGATGGGGTTAGAAATACTGAGAGTGGAAAAGTTTAAACCAAGAGAAAGTAGGTATATACAGTGAATCATGATGCAACAATGAGGGTTAACCAAAATAAAAATGATATAAGAAGTCATGGGGAAACTTTCCATGTTGCAGCAAAATTTATAATAGGTGTGACTTACGTTCTAAAGGAATTTGAAGAGAGATATTAGTGTCTCTGAAAAACACTGTTCTTTTTTTTTCTTTTTTTAAATAAATTTATTTACTTTATATCCTTTCACCTCCCTTGTCTTCTACCTCTCTCTTCCCCCATACCCTTCTGTTCCCACCCCTAATCCACTCTTCCTGTTTAGGAAAGGACAGGTCTCTCAGGTGTATCACAAAACATGGTACATTCAAATATCTGTCATTATAGTCCACCATATAAACAAATTGAAAGAAATAGAACCACATGATTGTCTCAATAGATGCTGAAAAATCCTTTGACAAAGTCCAACACCACTTCATAAGATAAGTCTTGCAGAGATCAGGGATAAATGGGATATACCGAACCATACTAACAGCAATATACAGCAAGCCAATTGTCAGCATCATGTTAAATGGAGAGAAACTCAAAGCAATTCCACCAAAATCAGGAACAAGACAAGGTTGTCCACTCTCTACATAGCTATTCAATATAGTACTTGGAGTTCTAGCAAAAACAATAAGACAAATAAAGCAAATCAAGGGGACACAAACTGGAACAGAAGCCAAAGTATCATTATTTGTAGATTACATGATAGTATACATAAGTGACCCAAAATATTCTAACAGGGAGCTCTTACAGCTGATAAACACTGTTAGTCAGGTGACAGGATACAAGATTAATGCAAAAACAATCAGTAGCCCTCCTATATACAAATGATAAACATGCTCAAAAAAATCAGAGAAACCACACCCTTTACAATAGCCTCAAATAATATAAAATACATTTGTGTAACTTTATTCAAGCAAGGGAAAGATCTGTATGACAAGGACTTAAAATCTTTGAAGAAAGAAATTGAAGAAGATATCAAAAGATGGAATGATCTCCAATGCTCATGGATTGGTAGGTTTAACACAGTAAAACTGACCATCTTACCAAAAGCAATCCACAGATTCAATGCAATTCCCATTAAAAGCCCAACATAACTCCTTACAGACCGTGAAAGAACAATATTCAACATTTATACAGAAAAAAAAACCCAGGATAGCTAAAAAACAATCCTGTGAGGCATTTTCTTAATTAGTGATTGATCAGAGAGGTTGCTGCTATGAAATTATAAACCAGTTATTTCCCATAGAAGCCTTGTCTCTTCAAAGCATTAATTATAGTATAAGTGATAGACAAAAAAATGTATGAAAAGCTTTTCTTTTTTTCCCTGAAAAACACTGTTCTTAGAAGCTGTGAGTTAAACCTAAAGACATGTGTGGGGCACTACTGTATGAATTGTTGATTAAGGAAATGCCAGAAGATCTGAAAACAGCACATGTTCTTGTCATTCCTCTTACTATTCCACCTGGACTGGATGCAACTTTTGTTGCAGGAGATAAAACATGCTAGACCTAAGCTGTAAGCTTCTCTGCTGACCACTTTCTAGAGTCTGGAATGTACAATGAAAGCTATCAAGGCAATCAATGCTGTTACTCATCTATGGACCCCTATGTACTATGAGACCTAGCTACTGGCAAAATGTACCAACTAGTTCAATAGCGGCACTTTTGCTGTGGGTGCAACCAACCGCTATCTGGTTGAATTTCTTCACAGAAATGTGTGTGTGTGTGTGTGTGTGTGTGTGTGTGTGTGTGTGTGTGTGTGTGTGTATTACATATGTATCTCAAATCTTACCTGAAAACAAGACCAGAATAGAACAAACAATTCTGAACAAGAAGGAGTGGCTGGAGGTATCACTATCCCAGATTTCAAGTCATACTACAGCTAGGAACTCTGTGTTTTTAGCACCTTATGAATCTATTGTTATTATTTCAGAATGAAAGTTTAAGCAGAATGTAATCAATTTATTACAAACAACTTCTTTCATATGCTTTCTATTGTGTTTGATACAATAAAAGGATTACATCTGTCTTTTCACTGAATAGAAACATTATGATACTGACATAAAAACAGATATTTTAATCAATGGAATAGAATTGAGGGCCTACATATAAGCCCACACTCATATAGCCACATAATTTTTAGTAAAGACATCAATAACATACACTTGAGAAAAAGATAGCTTCTTCAACAAATGTTAGAAGTCAAATTGGATTGCTACATGTAGAAGAATGAAACTAGGCCTTTATCTTTCAATTTGTACAAAACTCAACTTGAAATGGATCAAGGATCTCAATATATCCTGATCCTGATACCCTGAATCAGAGAAAGGAGAAAGTAAGGAGATGTACTTGAACTCATTGGCTATTGGCACAGGAAAAGTCTTTTGGAGCAGGACATCGATATGCCAGGCATTAAGATCAACAATTAATAAATGATGTTTCATGAAACTAAAAGTCCTCTATACAGCAAAGAACACCATTATTTGAGTAAAGAAGAAGAACACACAATGGGAAAAAATCTTTTCCAGCTATATACCTGAAGAGGGTTAGAGATTAGAACAGATATAGAACTCAAAAATTGTCTCAATAAACAATCCAGTTAAAAATGGGATGTGAAACTAAAGAGATGGTTTTCAAAAGACAAAATACGAATGGCTGAGAAACACTTTGAAAAATGTTCAACATCTATAGGTACCAAGATAATTTTTCTAAACTGATCAGATACATGTAAATTTATTAATATATACTGATTTCAATGTTCAGGATAATGTACTACTCCAGTTTTCAGTTGCTCTGACATCAACCATAGACACTACATTTAATTGCTGTGCCACAAAAATTTGACAATTGTATTCGTTTATTCTTTTCACAGAACTATGAACCTTCCCCCTGATACGAAAAACTTGAGATATGAAAACTTCAAGAAACAAAGTCAGCTGAAATTTGTCAGTATTGCTGTAAGGGTGAGGCAAGTAAGCAAGACAGCTTACCTCTAAAGTAAACAGTGTAGTCCACATCAGAGTTTGAATGTCAGTCTTCGGGTGACATGATCCGGAACTGAGAAGCTCAGAACCAAGGTGCATACCGGGCATTTCAGAAACCTTTGTACTATTTGACATATTAATAACTCAAAAGCAGTCACTGTTAGATCACCTGAGATTGATTGAAGTGACCTGGAAATAAAAAAAGGGAAGACTGACCTCTACAGAAGCAGATTGTCCTTTGCAGAATGAAGAGCAGCAGTCTCTAGGGGAGTGGGGACTGTTTCCACTTGCAGGGGGCTTGGGGTTTTATAGGGAGTAAAGGGAACTTTGTGGGTAGAAGATTCCATGTGAAGATCTATTCCTTTGCTGTCTCAAAGTTGTAAATACCAACAAGTAGTTGGTACATGAGTCTTATCAGCAGCTTCTCAGAATCTTAGGACCCTGAAGGGTATTTTCATTCCTATGTTGGCCTTTTTCCCAGGAAGGTGTACTTATCCACATGCTGAGTCAGGGGTTTCTCAGCTCCCCAGAGACTCTCTGTTTTTGGTCATTGCTTGCCATTTTCAAGCACAGGTATTTATTTATTTATTGTCAAAACAACATTTATTCTAAATTAGTGTGAGATTTGTATGTTTCCTAGAAGATGTCTAGACCATACAGGTAGTGTTTTCTAGGTCAAGAAGATTGTGCTACTCAGGTTAAAGGGCATGACTTTGAAATCAGAAAAACATCACTTTATTCAGGCACTTTCTATCACTGCATTAGTTAATATCTTAGCTTGAAATGTTTATTCATGTCCAGAACATAGGTAGATCACAGTATATGTCAGTTATCTTTATAAACACAGAGACGAGTATCCAGGGCCTAAGGAGAACAAGTTAGTTCTTCTTGATCATTTTAGGCTTGCAAATGCTCATTGTGGCTTAGCCATAACATGTTCAAAATCTTTCACTGGAAATCAAAAACCAAATCTAATTCTTAAAGAAACATCTGAGCACCAGGCTTGAATTGGAAACTTCTAACCTATTTCTTTTTTTTTTTAATTTATTTTACATACCAGCCACAGATCCCCCTCTCATCCCTCCTCCCACTCCACTCCACCTTTTCCTACACCCCTCATCCCCTCTTCCCACAGGGTAAGTTCTTTTAAGGGGAGACAGCTAAGCCTAGTACATTCAGTTGAGGCAAGACCAAGCCCCTCCCCGCTTTTTCAGGAGTGAGTAAGGTGTCCTACCATAGGTAATGTGATCCAGAAAGCCAGCTTATGCACCAGGGATAGATCCTGATCACTCTGCCAGAGGCCCCTCAAACAGACCCAGCTACACAACTGTCTCACGAATGCAGAAGGTCTAGTCTGATCCGATGCAAGTTCCAAGCTGTCAGTCTAAAGTTCACCAGTTCCTTTGAGCTTGGTTCAGTTGTTTCCCCATCATGATCTTGACCCCCCTTGCTCATGTAATTCCTCTTCCTGCTCTTCAACTGGATTCCAGGAGCTTGGCTTGGTGCATGGTTGTGGATCTCTGCATCTGCTTCCATCAGTTAATGGATGAAGGCTGTATGCTGACAGTTAGGTTATTCAACAATTTGATTACCAGGGTAGGCCAGTTTAAGCACCCTCACCATTGTTGCTAGTAGTCTAAGCTGGGGTCATTCTTGTAGATTCCCGGGAAATTCCCTAGCATCAGGTTCCTCCCTTACCCCATAATGTCTCCTTCTGTCAAGATAACTTGTTCATTACTCTCCTACTCTGTCCCTCCCCCAGCTTGACCACCCCATTTCCTCATGTTTTCATCCCCCATCCCCTACCCTCTATTGCCTCGCTCACCCCCCAGTTTACTCATCAGGATCTCCTTTGTTTCCACTTCCGAAGGTGATTCATATATCCCTCTTAGGGTCCTCCTTTTTTCCTAGCTTCTCTGGAGCTGTAGTCTGTAGTCTGATTATCCTTTGGTTTACATCTAGCATCCACTTATGACTGAGTACATACCATGTTTGTCTTTCTGAGTCTGGGTTACCTCACTTAGGATGATATGTTCTAGTTCCATCCATTTACCTGCAAATTTCATGATGTCATTGTTTTTTACAGCTGAGTAATACTCCATTGTGTATATGTGCCACAGTTTCTTTATCTATTCTTTGGTTGAGGGGCATCTAGGTTGCTTCCAGGTTCTGATTGTTATGAATAATGCTGCTATGAACATAGCTGAGCAAGTGTTCTTGTAGTATGATTGAGTATCCCTTGGGTATATGCCCAAGAGTGGTGTCATTGGGTCTTGAGGTAGATTGATTAACAATTTTCTGACAAACCACCATACTGGTGGCTGTACAATTTTGCACTCCCACCAACAGTGGAGGAGTGTTCCCCTTACTCCATATCTTCTCCAACATAGGCTGTCATCAATGTTTTTGATCTTAGCCATTCTGAGAGGTGTAAAATGGTATCTCAGAGTTGTTTTGATTTGCATTTCCCTTATAACTAAGGGTGTTGAGCAACTCCTTAAATATCTTTCAGCCATTTGTGATTCTTCTGTTGCAAATTCTCTGTTTAGCTCTGTAGCCCATTTTTTAATTGGTTTGTTTGCTGTCTAGTTTCTTGAGTTCTTTATATGTTTTAGAGTTCAGCCCTCTGTCACATATGTGGTTTGTGAAGATCTTTTCGCATTCTGTAGGCTGTCATTTTGTCTTATTTACTATGTCCTTTGCCTTATGGAAGCTTCTCATTTTCAGGAAGTCCCATTTACTAAGTGTTGCTCTCAGTGACTGTGCTACTGGTGTTATATTGAGGAAGTGGTCTCCAGAGCCAATGCTTGCTAGGCTACTTCCTACTTTCTCTTCTATCAGGTTCACTGTAGCTGGATTTATGCTGAAGCCTTTGTTCCACTTGGACTTGAGTTTTGTGCACGGTGATAGATATGGATCTATTTACAATTGTCTGCATGATGGCATCCAGTTCTGCCAACACCATTTGTTGAAGATGCTTTCTTTTTTCTATTGTATAGTTTTGGCTCTTTTGTCAAAAATCAGGTGTTCATAGATGTGTGGATTAATGTCAGGATCTTCAGTTCAATTCCATTGGTCCACATTTTTTTTATGCCAATACCAAGCTATCTTTATTATTATAGCTCTATAGTACAATTTGAAGTCAGGGATGGTGATGATTCAAGAAGTTGCTTTATTGTAAAGGATTGTTTTAGATATTCTAGGTTTTCTGATTTCCATATGAGGTTGAGTATTGTTCTTTCCAAGTCTGTGAAGAATTTTTTGGGATTTTGATCGGGATTGCATTGAATCTGTAGATTGCTTTTGGTAAGATTGCCATTTTTACTATGTTGGTTCTACCTATCCATGAGCATGGGAGATCTTTCCATTTTCTGATATCTTCTTCATTTTCTTTCTTCAAGGGCTTAAAGTTCTTGTCATATAGGTCTTTCACCTGTTTGGTTAGAGTTACCCCAAGGTATTTTATGTTATTTGTGGCTATTGTAAAGGGTGATATTTCTCTGATTTCTTTCTTGGCTCATTCATCATTTGTATATAGGGGGACTACTGATTTTTTGAGTTAATCTTGTATCCTTCCACATTACTGAAGGTGTTTATTAGCTGTGGAAGTTCTCTGGTTTAATCCCAGCACTCAGGAGGCAGAGCCAGGCAAATCTCTGTGAGTTCAAGGCCAGCCTGGGCTACCAAGTGAGTTCCAGTAAAGGCACAAAGCTACACAGAGAAACCCTGTGTCTCAAAAAAAAAAAAGTTCTCTGGTAGAAATTTTGGGGTCATTTATGTAGACTATCATATTATCTGCAAATAGCAAAAGTTTGCTGTCTTCCTTTCCAATTTGCGTCCACTTTATCTCCGTTTGTTGTCTTATTGCTTTAGCTAGAATTTTGAGTACTATATTGAATAAATATGGGGAGAGTGGACAGCCTTGTCCTGTTCCTGATTTTAGTGGAATCACTTTGAGTTTTTCTCCATTTAATTTCATGTTAGCTGTTGTTTGCTGTAAGTTGTGTTGTGTTTTATGTTTAGGTATATTCCTTGTATTCTTGATCTCTCCAGGACCTGTATCATAAAGGGGTGTTGGATTTTGTCAAAGGCATCTAATGAGATGATCATGTGGGGGTTTTTTTCTTTCAGTTTGTTTACAAGATGGTTTACATTGACAGATTTTTGTATGCTGAACCATCCCTGCATCTCTGGGATGAAGCCCAGATACTTGATCATGATGGATGATTTTTTATGTGTTCTTGAATTTGGTTTGCCAGTATTTTATTGAGTATTTTTGTATCCATGTTCATGGGGGACATTGGTCTGTAATTCTCTTTCTTTGTTGCATCTTTGTGTAGTTTGGGTATCAGGATAACTGTAGTCTCATAGAAAGAGTTTGACAATGTTCCTTCTGTTTCTATTGTGGAACAATTTGAGTAGTATTGGTATTAGCTCTTCCTTGAAATTCTGGTAGAATTCTGCAATGAAAACATCTGGTCCTGGGCTTTTTTTTTGTTGTTGGGAGATTTTTAATGACTGCTTCTATTTCCATAGTAGTTATAGGTCTATTTATATTGTTTATCTGGTCTTGATTTAATTTGGATATATGGTACCTATCAAGAAAATTGTCCATTTCTTTTAGATGTTCCAATTTTGTGGAGTACAGATTTTGAAGTATGACCTGTTGATTCCCTGAATTGCTTCATTGTCGGTAGTTACATCTCTTTTTGTTTCTAATTTTATTAATTTGGATACTTTCTCTCTGCCTTTTTATAAGATATACATAACTTTTGTCACGATATCAATGGTCATATAGAGTACTAACTAACCCTAGAAAAAGGCTTTATCTAGCTTTCTGTACATGAATTTGGGTTTGAGTTTCTATCATTTTTCTGCAGGGAACCACGATCACATCTAACAGTGACTGTGAAGAATCCAAAAAGGTGATGGGGCCCCACAACAACGATTCCATCAGGATAATAATAATACCACTAAGCTGACAAACACTACCCAAAGATGGGCTTTGGACTAAAAACTGTTCAGGATAATTTCAAAATGGCTAGCTGAGATGATCCAGCCTCACAAAATACTTAAGCAAGGGCTTTAGACAAGCCCTGCATTTTTGCATTATACAGAGACTGGAAAACAAATGATATAACTACCTTTCCCTGGACTTGACAATTAACCCAAAATTTTTTATTTTCAGGATCCCCTAAAGATGGTTTTGCCTCCAGACAGCAGGAAGTAATTTTAAGAACATGATGCCCACATTCCCAAGAGGTGGGCTGGGTGGTTTTCGGTCATTCAATGGGTTATGGATCATTGTCATTGTTTAGGATGGTTGGTGACAAGTTGTTATTGTTAATGGTTAGGAAAAATGCTAAACAAAGGAGATTAGATTTAAGGTTTTTGTTTGAAAAAAAAGAGGATATAGATAAGAGGTAGATTATTGAATCTACTTTGAAAAAATATAGAAATGATGAATAAAGGGTAGTTTATTGAATCTACTCTGAAAAACAGATGGAAATGATAGGATAAAAGGGTAGATTATTGAATCTACTCTGAAAGTAAAAAGAGAGAATATGGATATGATAAGATAAAAAGGTAGATTATTGAATCTACTTTTTAAAAGGAACTACTTGTTTTAAATATTTTATATTGGATTAGATTTTTGTACATTGTATACAAATTATGTATATTGATATAAATTTGTGATTGATTTTGTTATAAAATACTGTGCATATATTTCTAATCTTGTTCAAGGTATTGTACCTATACAGTTCATTTAACAATGTAATGCAATTTACTAGTCCTTGAAAGCTATTATTACCAACTAATTAGGATATAAAGAAATTAAAGTTAGTAGTTAGTCATTACAATCAAACTTGTAGTCATATTAGGTATATTTTCAAGGTCAAATAGAAATATATTTTAGATAAACAGGCTATTTTCAGGCACTTCAGAGAGCTACAGAATATGGCATTTAAGATTTAATAACATTTTTTCTTTTTTTTTTTTAATGACAATGATACATGTCTGCTCCTGGCAGCACCAATCTACTTCAGAGAAGATAGTAAGAAATGAAGAAATTCCATATTGAGTTTACTTTCATGGTGGCAAAAGTTAGCCACTGGGCAAGAAATTGTCCTCACCTTGACTGCTGACAGTATGCTGTCCAAAATGGACAAGCAGGACACAAAAGAAAGGACTGCCAATCCTTACCAAGAAAAGATAGTAAAACTCTTTAAAAAAATCCTGCTTCACAGATGAGCCTGTCAAATATGCTAGGCAGGCCTGTAGGCTGAAGATAGGTGTCCCAATGTTGCAGAAAATCCTTGTATGACTGTCCAGGCAGCCAGCTGTTTTTGTCATAACTCACATTTTTTTGGAAGTCAATTATTTTCACTTCCTGCTTTACTAGATAATATTATTTATTTCCTTCTCATGTCTGTGAGGGAGTTGAAGATTAGGTACTTAAAGCTTTCCTTGTTAACAAATTCAGAAAAGAAACTGACTAAAGAGGTGTAAACTACATAAGTTTGAAAGACATCAAAAAATAGTTTTGAGTTGGTAATGCAAATTAGATTGAAGGTGAATTAGATGCAACCTTTTAGATTCACAAAAATAGAATAGATAGTGGAACATTTTTTTCTGAATTTGTCAAATGCAAATAGACTAGACATTGTTGATATATTTATTGCCTGTATATATAGTATATAGTTATTGTACTTATTGTATATAGTTTTTCTTATATTAGTTATTTCTTAGACAAAAAAAGGGGGAAATGTGGTGATATTTCATTTGTGCCCTAACAAATAAAGCTTGCCTGGGGATCAGAGGGGAAAAGCCAGGCACTATATTAAACATAGAGATTGGGGGTAGTAGCAACCACCTTTAATTCTAACATTCGGGAGGCAGAGATTTATCCAGATCTCTGTGAGTTCAAGGCCACACTGGGAACAGAGTCAGATATGGTGGCACACACTTTTAATCCCAGTATTCATTAGCCATAGAGGTGTAGAGGTCTATACAGACAGACAGGAAGTGACAGAGCTGGCAGAAAGAGGAAGTGATATAGCTGGGCAGAGAGTGGAAGTAAGATGGCAGGGCACAGAAAGGTATATAGGTGTGAGTATAGAGGAAGTAGCTCTCTCTTGGGCTGAGAATTTCCTAGCAGTAAGAACTTGTGGCTGGCTTGTCCTATTCCTCTGATCTTTCAGCTTTCACCCAATATCTAGCTCCAGGACTTTTATTAATAAAACAATTTAGCAATTTGTTTTATACCTTTTAGTTAGTTTGGGTAAGGGTTTGTCTATCTTGATTTTCTTAAAGAACCAACTCTTAGTTTCATTGATTCTTTGTACTCTTCTCTTTGTTTCTATTTTATTGATTTCAGCCTCAATTTGATTATTTCCTGAAGTCTACTCCTCCTGGGCAAGTTTACCTTTTTTTCTTCTTGAGCTTTCAGGTGTGCTGTCAAGTCACTAGTGTGAGATTTCTCCATCTTTTTTATGCAGGCATTTAACACTATGAACTTAGTACTTAGTACTGCTTTCATAGTGTCCCATAAGTTGGGGTATTTTGTGCATTCATTTTCATTTAAATTCTAAGAAATCTTTAATTTCTTTCTTATTCATTCCTGTATCCAGTAGTGACTCAGGTGAGCATTGTTCAGTTTTCATGCATTTGTAGGGTTTCTGTCATTTCTGTTGTTGAAATCTAACTTTAAGCCATAGTGGTTCGATAAAGTACAGGAGGTTATTCCAATTTTTTTGTATCTGTTGACATTTGCTTTGACATGGTTGATTTTAGAAAATGTTACATGGGGTGCTGAGAAGAAGGAATATTCTCTTATGTTTGGTTGGAATGTTCTGTAGATGTCTATGAAGTCCATTTGAGTCATAATGTCTGTTAGTTACCTTATTTCTCTGTTAAGTTTCTGTCTGGCAGACCTACCCATCAGTGAGAGTGGGGAGTTGAATTGTCCCACTAGTAGTATGTGGGGTTTGATGTATGATTTAAGCTTTAGTAACATCTCTTTTACATATTATGGTGCCCTTGTATTTGTGGCATAAATGTTCAGAATTGAATCTTCATCTTGATGGATTTTTTTCCTGTGAAGAATATGTAATGTCCTTCTCAATCTCTTTTGATTAATCTGAGTTTGAAGTCTATTTTGTTAAATATTAGGATAGCTATACCAGCTTGCTTCTTAAGTCCATTTGACTAGAAACACTTTTCCCCCACCCTTTACTCTGAAGTAGTGTCTGTCTTTGATGATGAGGTGTGTTTCTTGTATGCAGCAGAAGGATGGATTCTGTTTTCATATTCATTTTGTTAGCCTGTGTCTTTTTTTTAAAGTATGCAAAAATGTTCTGCTGTGGATATCACTCTATATAAATAAAACACTGATGGCCAATGACCAGGCAGGAAGTATAGGCAGGACAAAGAGAGAGAGAATTGGGGAAACAGGAAGAAGGAGGAGAGACACTGCAGCCACTGCCAGGAGAAGCAACATGTAAAGACGCCAGTAAGCCACCAGCCACGTGGCAAGGTATAGATTTATAGAAATGGGTTAATTTAAGATATAAGAACAGTTAGCAAGAAGCCTGCCACGGCAATACAGTTTGTAAGCAATATAAGTCTCTGTGTTTACTTGGTTGGGTCTGAGCGGCAGTGGGACTGGCGGATGACAGATTTGTCTTGGCTGTGGGCAAGGCAGGAAAACTCTAGCTACAATGTTCATTTAATCATGTTTGAAGGAAAGAAAAGGAAGGAGCAACATCAGTGAATATCAGCAGGGAACCAGGAGCAAATATGAACAGACATGGCAAATACATTCTTTTCACACATCAAGAGCACAACAGCCTGCTAGCAAGTCTTGCATCATACCAGGCACAAATGCCAGATGAATCAAGGACATCCTGATAAACAAAACAACAATAATATGTTAAAGAGTATAAAAGAGGTTTCTCACATCAAAAGAAAAATTTATTTATTTAAAATGTCTAATCTGGATAAATATACTTTCATTGCCATTCGTTTTAGGCAAAAAGAATGAGGTTTAGGGAATTCCTTAGCAAACATAATTAATAAAATATTGTCACAAGGGTAATATTGGCAGTGTCCTTTCTTGTCTGATCTTTGAAAGTTAACACAGATTGGTGAGCACCGGGGAAAAGGGATGTCTATGTTCTCAGTAGTTCCTACATCAGCCTTCCTACGTGCATGACTTTAAAAAGCAATGAGATCTATTTCATTGTATTAGGACTTCACTATAAACTAGTATATATCACACTAATATGTCTAATTGCATGCTCACTATTCTATTTCCACATAAAATTCTGTTTAGAATATGAACATTAATTTTGAAAGGAGACTCAATCTATGATAGTGTGTACAGTGAGAGCTGTAAAAAATGTAGTGTTAATTTAGTCAAAGCATGTTTGTTTAATAACACAACTCTCTTACTTTCTATGTGAATCCACCGATGTGAGAAAACTTGTCTGAAGTCAGTTTCTTACAGACTGGGCTCATAAATTAGAGAGCTCTTAGCCAGAACCACACTGTACCGATTCTCGGCTCTTAGAGGCCTGTTCGTGTATGTGTAAGACATGAACAAGGTCCTCATGGCGGAAGCCTGTGGTATTGTTAAACGGAAGGCAACAAATTCAATGCTATCAACCATGATGTCCAAGGCAAACAGTTTTGCAACCTCCTCATGTTGTGCCTACATCATATCATACCCGGCATCTGTCATGTCATGAGGCATAATCAGAAGGAAGCTTTAGTTATGGGATACTAGAGAATGCCATTTAGCCAAAAGCATTGTTTCTCTTGTACAACCAAGCATGCTCTTGTCGTCTCAGAATTCAGGATCCTAGGAACTTCCTCCAATGTCAGTCATCTCTTAGGTTTTTGATCCACCATTCATTTTAGTAACATCTGCCTCTGTCTTTTTATAAGTGAATTGAATCCATTGATATTAATGGATAATAATGACCAGTGATTGTTAATTCCTGTTATTTTTTTGATGATAGTATTGTGTGTTTCTCTTCTTTGGGGGTTGTTGGTATGGGATTATTTATTGTGTGTGTTTTCATGGGTGCATCTAACTTCCTTGGGTTGAATTTTTTCTTCTAATGCTTTCTACAGGACTGGATTTGTGGATAGGTATTGTTTAAATCTGGTTTCATGGAATATTTTACTTTGTTTATTACAATTGAGAGTTTTGCTGGGTATAATAGTCTGGGCCGGCATTCATGGTCTCTTGGTGTATACAAAACATCATTTCAGGACCTTCTGGCTTTCAGAGTCACCATTGAGAAGTCAGGGTCTGCCTTTATATGTTACTTGGTGGGTTTTTTTTCAGCTCTTAATGATTTTTCTTTATTCTGTATGTTTAGTAGCTGAATTATTATGTAGCAAGGGGACTATCTTTGGGGTGCAGTCTATTTGGTGTTTGTAACTTTCTTGTATCATAATAGGCATTTCCTTCTTTAGGTTGGGAAAGTTTTCTTTTATAATTTTATTGAATGTATTTTCTGTGCCTTTGAGTTGGTATTCTCCTTCTTCTATCCCTATTATTCTTAGGTTTGGCTTTTTCATGTTGTCCCAGATTTCCTGGGTGTTTCATGTTATGACATTTTTGGCTTTAGTATTTTCTTTGACTGATGAAACAATTTCCTCTATTGTATCCTCCACTCCAGAGATTCTGTCTTCTGTCTCTTGTATTCTGTTGGTTATTTTTGCATCTGTACTTCCTGTTTATTTACTCAGATTTTCTATTTCCAACATTGCCTCAGTTTATGTCTACTTCATTGTTTCTATTTCAATTTTCAGGTCTTGAACTGTTTCCTTTACCTGTTTAATTGCTTTTTCTTGGTTTTCTTGGCTTTCTTTAAGGGATTTACCAATTTCTTCCATTTTTGTTTGTCTTTTCTTCAATTTCTTTAAGAAAAAATCTTCACTTTCTTTTTAATGGCCTCTATCATTTTCTTAAAGTCATTTTAAGGTCATTTTCTTGTGCTTCTTCTAGGTTGACATGTTCAGGTCTTGCTGATGTAAAACCACTATGTTCTGGTGGTGCTATATTGCTCTTCATGTTGTTCATTGTATTCTTGCACTGGCATCTACCCATCTCTTCCTCCAATTGGTGCAAGTGGTTTCTGTGTCTCAGGAAGCCACTCTTGGTCCAGTCATAGCTCTTGATACAATTGGAGCTAGCAGAGCCTGTGTCTCAGGGAGCAGCTGTGGTGTTAGAGGATGGGTGGGTTTGGGGGATGAATTGGGGGCTTATAGGTTACAGGGTCTGGTGGTGGGATGGTAGTTGGGCCTGCCTGCAGAAGTCCTGCCTGCTGTCCTGCAACTGGTTATGGCCATGGGCCTAAACCCTAGAGGCTGGGATGATTCAAGCAAAGGCATTTAAACAATAGCAAAGGTGAAGGAAGAAGTATAATAAAATTTAACCAATTAAAATCTGTCAATGACAGGTACTTGTCAGTTTGTGGCTTGTATATTTCTGAGCTTATTATAGATCCAAACTGTCCAAAGGCTTTTGGAAAATCTGCTTAATAGAAGAAACTGAAAAACAGGAAACTAGCCTAATGGGACGGTTGCATGTATAAAGGGCTTCTCTGTGGACAATGGTAGAGGAGAATACCAAGCATTTAGGTGGCATGTCATACTCTTTAATTTCATGATCCATTATCTTGTCAGAAGTCAATCTAACAAGCTTGTTGATTTAGAATTTCTAAAATTAGATTCCAGTGTCTACCTTTGTTTGATTATATTTTTGAAACTTTTCAGAAGGACTCCAGGATGTCCTCAATTCAAAGTATAATTTTACTTCTAGTTTCTACTGTGATCACAAGCTGAAATGGCTAAATTTCCATAAATTAGCTGTAATCCTCCATATGTCTTCTATCAGAATCCCCAGAGATTTTTCAGAAAAGCAAAAATCATTAGTTTACTCTCTTCAGGACCCTGTTTTCTATCTTGCGCATGCTTTGATAAGATGAGATGAGATACCTGAAATTATGTCTTTTGTGTCTTTGACAAGTGAGCAGAGATGGAATGTCATGAGACTAATGTTCCTATATACTTGAAAACCTGGGGGTTTGTGTTGGCATAATTGCTTTTGGCACAAAATTGGGTACCTAGAAGGAAGCTGAGACAAGGGAATGAACCTATTTCTAGGGTCCTGCATTGGGACTTGTGTATGATTCCCCAAATGATTTTGGGTCAGCATACCTTTGTAAAATGTGTGATGATTAAAACACCAAAGAAACTTGCATTTCTGAAAGGAAATCTGTAATCTGCCTGCTTTGATGATGGGGCATTAATTGGAATAATATGTTTTTTTCCAATAAGTGAGTTATTTGGCTTCTGTGGAGATAGTGCTATCCTACTGTGTTCTTGTGAATAAAATCAGGAACAGCATGAAATTGACTTTGAGATGAGAGCTGAAGTTCCAACACAATTTAGAAGCCTGTACTTCTGTGATTATTGTTAAAATTGAGAGTTAGATGAAAGAGGTCTAAGTGCATTTCAGGGAGCATGAGTGAAATACATTTCAGAATTGGACAAGAAAGGTCAGGGTATCAGAAACTTCAGTAAACTATGATTTTTATCATAGTTCACTTAAAGTTTGTAAACATTTATTTATAATGTGAGGTTAATGATTAAAAAATCATGTATCATCTCACTGCTAAAGAAATTGTCCACTTAGATTTGGAATTGTGATTTATTTTCTTTCTCAATGAGGCACATATAAAAATATTGTGTATTATAATATTTTACTTTTAGACTCATTAATTATTGCTGTTTAGACGACCTAGCTTATATACTTAATATTCATAGAATAATAAACTACAATAAATGCAAAATATAAGAAGCAGTGTTAGAGTAATGTAAAGCATACAAAAACTAGTTTTAAACACAAAACTTTAAATAGTGTATAAGAAAAACTTTTAAGACTGAATGAATTTTATCTAGTTAATAAATAGTGATTTTAAGCTTTCCCTTTCCTTGAATGGTTAAAATTCTTCCAAAACTCCAGAACATTCGATTTGAAAAATGGTAAATTAAGAGAAAGAAACCAATGTGCATATTAGAAAAACTCAAGCATAAATTAAAATTTAATTTATATAATTTTAATATTCAAATTATCTGCATATATTTTGTTATAAGTAGAGTTACGTAAAATTATTTTGCTATAATTCCCTTATAGAGCTCAAGGAGTTGCAGCTTTAATCATAAGTATGCTACATTGCCTCCTAACAACAAATTGACTATTATTGGGGTTGTCAACAAAAATCTGTCAAAGTTATTGTTCGGTTTATTGATGTGTCCTCTTCTCATTAAAGTGTACCTTCTAACAAGTTTACAGGTGATGCTAAGTCGGCCATCTATAGTTTAAGAGCCAGGATCTCAGGAACTATTGTGTGAAGAACGATGTCATTTTCTTAACAACTTTGTGCACATGAGCTCTATTGCAGGGGCTCATCTGTGGAAACTAAATCAGTAGAGTTCCTTCTGAGCACCATCCCCATTCCTACCTCTATGCTGAGGAACTAACATATATTCATTCGCAATCACACAACATTGTATTTAGAAACATGTTTTTAAAATGCCATTGTTTTATAATAGTTGACAATATAGCATTTATATTTCTACCACTTACGGTTTTCATATTGTAGATCAATATGGTAAAATTGATATGGTATTTATAAAGTATTTTCCTATTTATACAGATTGTATGATTCTTTACTGAGCATTTTTCTTAGAAGTAAGCATGCATATCATTTCATTTCTTTCAACAACACAATAGCACTAAATATCTTTTTAGGTATACATGTGAAGGTTGTGTTTTTATAGGATATAGCCAAAGAAGAAATGTAAAATGCACATATTTTTATTTTTGTGAATTTTGCCAATAAAGTTTTAACTCTTGTAGAATTTACTTTTGCACTAGCAACATTTCATAGTGCTTTCATTTATTCCACCAACAATTATTTTATCTCATGAGAGAAAAACATATTGGATGTATCATATATTGTAATACACTATCATTAACTATGTATTAGGTACTTTTCTTATTTTATTTTTTTGTTTTGCTATATTTACTTTTTATATTTTCTAGGCTTCTTTTTCATGGTCGAGAGTTATTTCCAAACAACAAGAGGAGTGGTTGTTTAATCTTTTACACATTGTTTTAAAATATTTAATATTTGCTTTATATATAAAATTGTGTTTTCAAAAAAATACTTAGTAAAGCTAGTTGGGTCAACATACCATATAGATAGATCATGATATTGTCACAAAATTTAAAAGAAAAATCAAACCTATTTTAAAAATTGCATACACACCAGATTTTGTTGTCTACTTTACTTTTGTTTTTTGTTTTTTTTTTTAAATAATGATTCTTTTTTTTCTAAAGATTTTATTTATTTATTATGCATACAGCATGTATGACTGCAGGCCAGAAGAGGGTGCCAGATCTCATTACAGATGGTTGTGAGCCACCATGTAGTTGCTGGGAATTGAACTCAGAGCTCAGGACCTCTGGAAGAGCATTCAGTGTTCTTAACCGCTGAGCCATCTCTCCAGCCCTGAGCCATCTCTCCAGCCCATACTTTTGTTTTTAATTATACTATTCTTACACTAAATTCTTTTTTAAAATCCTGTTTTATATTGTTGATAGTAATATATTATTATTTTTCTTTGTTATACAGTTCTATTATAGCTAATAGCTTTTTGAGTGAAAGTTGAAATCGTATTACTCAATTTTTAAAGTAACTATATTATGATTTTAATATAAATTCATAATAAATTTATAAAATTTATAACACAATTCAGATAAAATTGACCATTTAATTGTACTAACCTTCTCATTAAAGAATAGTAGGCAAATGTATTGTTCAAACTTTTGATGTTACTAAGTGGTTTTCCTTATGCAGTACAACATTAGATATAATTCATCAGTGATGTTTCCTTATTCAATATTTGTCTTCATGTCTTTTTCTTTTCATTTGAAGCAACCTTCCTCTCTTCTAACAGGACTGACTCTAAAAGGGTCCATTGTTTTTTGTTTTGTTTTGTTTTCCAGAGGCCAACTTGCTAAGAACTTTGTCACATGTTACTCCAGCATGATGACTCATGACTGGCTTCAATCAGACCCTCAGGAAGTATGTCCAGTCTGGCAGCCAATCAGGGTCCTACCTGGCAGCAAGCAGGAAATGTTCTTGCTATTTTCAGTCAAATAGACCCCTGACACAGCAAACAGACCCCTGACACTGCAACCATAGTTGCTGACTAGATGTCATGAGCCAATAATAAAATGATTCTTGTTTCAGTAAAGGTCTATGACTAATCACTTCAAAGCACACTTAACCACAGCTAGAATTTCCCTAGCCATGCTTAAAAGAGGCCTATGATCTTCTCTCAGGGTCACCATCTTATCATGTGGCTGACCCCTGCATGCTGGAATTTTTACTCTCAATAAATAAATAAATAAATAAATAAATAAATAAATAAATGCTCTTGTTGTTTGCATACTTGAATGGTTGTCTTTTCTGGGATGACTCATGGACCATAACACATTAATTTTGTACTTTGTATAAGTTGTTGATTTACACAGAACAGCTAAAAATTAGTTTATTTTTCTCTAGGATCCCAGCTTCCTATTGTATGATACTTAATTGTATTCTAGATTAATGTTGACATTCAGATACAAGTAAGAAAACAAAATTTTCTAAAGCTTCATGAAGTTATAAAGTTTTCAGATACAAAATTGCACAAGACTAAGATCTAAGAGAGAGGCAAAAGTATTCTTATAGACCTGATATTGTCTGTTACTTTCCCTTCTATTTATTAACCAGCAGGAGTTGAAAGCTCAGTATCTCTAGACTACAGTTCAGAGTTTATGATAGTTTCATTATACAAATCACTGTCATTTAAAGTTACAAACTACATTAAGATCGAGGAAAAATGTTTCTGTAGAAAAGAGACCTGAAGAAGATGCTATTGCTCTGGCGGCCGCCTTATTCAAGGCTTTGACCATCTATAGTCATGAAAGAAAGGGTAAGTAATTGAGGAAGTGTGTATTTATGACAATAAGTAGATATTAGCAAACTGGAATCTGATCAAATTCAGCATAACTTCTGTTTTGATGAGTAAAGTTTCATTTGGAACACGAATGTATTGTTTTCTGGAAGACTCAGCTTCAACAGCAAAACTCAATGGGTAAGATAAAGGCCACATGAACTTGTAAGACTAAAACATTTACTACTTTGCTTTCACACAGTATTTGTTACTATCTTATCTTTAGCCCAACATTTTGACTGCAATTTTTCCCCATTTTTGTCTATTTGACAGTTTCACATATTCAGATAAGGAAGTTTGATCATCTTCACACCTAACTCAACTCTCTTTCCCTATCCCCTATTCTCTCTCTCTCTCTCTCTCTCTCTCTCTCTCTCTCTCTCTCTCTCACACACACACACACACACACACACACACACACACACATCTCTCTTGTAAAAAAAAGTCCCACTTGATGTTCATGCCTTCTTTTTTGCTTGTGGCTCACTGACTTTAATTCATTTTTTTTTTTTTTGCCCAAAAAAATGTGTGGGAAACTATTCAGTGAAGCAAAAACAAAAAACAACTTACCTGTGTGCCCTGTCCCTTCTCTAGTCCCAGCAGACTAGTTATTCCTCAGCAAAACACCCAGGGTTGAGACTCAGTCTCTACCATTGTGGGTAGGTGAGCTAGGGTACCTGAAGTACCGATTGTCATGAGAATCCACCTGATTTATTTAGATCATTATTATAAAATTTCTAACACTTGTTCCAAAATGATATCAATGTGGTGTCCCCTCAACCTTCTCTTGGCCACCAGTCCTTGAGGACAAAGGGGCAGAAGCAGAGACAGAGAGTTTTGTACAGCCTGTGATCACAGCAGAAATAGCTTTGCAGGATACAACTTCAGTGAGAGAGCTTAACTGTATTCCTGAGTGAGAAGACAGATAAAGGATAGAGACAGAGGTTGGGGCATCAACTAATTTGCATTAAACAGCACTTTCTTATCATAAGACTCCAAGTACAAGTCTAATTACCATATGGGCAGCAGAGAGAGAACTTCTGCAGGGAACTGTGTCAAGTGTCACACTAGAGATAAGCCCCGAAGCAGGGAGTAGAGACATTTTCCGGATAAGGTCAAGTAGAGAGGAGGAAGCCCCCTGCCATGACCAGGTAGTCCTCCATGTTGCTAAGCTCAGAGAGAGCTGCCAGACTATGGTGGATTGCAACCTACTTCCAGCAGGGCCTCCCAACATACAAAGATCAGAGAGGAGAATTATTGAAATATCTCTCCCTTTGTGGATCACCTCATGTGTCAGCAGCCTTGTGCCCTGAGAGGTGAAGAGGATGGGAAATAGGATAACAGGCAGCATGCTTTCAAGCTGCCACCATTTCCCAATTGTCATAAGTTTGAGAATTTAAGAAGTATTAAAATGATAGGATTTCTTAACAGATATGTGGCACATGCCTTTAATCCCAGCGCTCTGGAGGTAGAGACAGGCAGATCTCTGTGAGTTGGAGGCCACCCTGGGCTTCAGAGTGAGTTTCAGGAAAGGTGCAAAGCTACACAGAGAAACCTTTTCTCGAAAAATCAAAAATAAAATAAAATAAAAACCTCAGATATTTCTTATTTCACAAACATCTTGTAAACCCAATCTAAGTCTAATGAAGATGTTATGCAACTAAAATAAAGACTAAAATAATTGTGAAAGACAGGCAAACTTATTATTAGTGGAAATGTCACTATACTGATTTTTTTTCCTTTTACACATCAAATAGTTATGTGCAGAACAAAAATTTACTAGTAGTATCTTCTTTTACATCCACTGTGTGAGATCTATTGTGAAATCCATGCCAAAATAATTTCTATGCATTTCACTTTCAATTAGAATATTATGAAAATGGAATCAATTCACCTGCATAGGGATAAATTCATTGTTACATTTTTCATAGTTTACTAATTTCTTACATGACGGTCTTCAAAAAACGAGAGCTCCAAATTTCTAAGTCACCTGTCCTAATCAGGTAGATCCATTTAGCATGATGGAGAAGGTGACACACAGATAGAAGCACTGATTTCTGTGATGAAAATGACATGTTTCTAATGATTATTTCATAAGTAGAAATAAATGAATAGATTATTATGATTTCAGGTGCCAAATGCGTTGATTCAGGCTTGAGGATGCCTGGCTTTGCTCATTGTCTGGATTTCAGATGAACGGCACTGGCAGCAAACACAGATGAACCTCATTAACAATGAACAATGAAGAAGACTGAAGTTGGCCTGCAAACCCAGGGGACCTTGCCAAAGAACAAAGCTGATTTCCTCACGTCTATCGTTTCCTATTTCCAGAGGATGAAATGAATCCTCTACTGTACTTTAGGAAAAGGGAGGCTGAACTCAGGAAAATTCCAGTGTTTTTGAGAAATTCAAAGTATAGGCATCTGCATTTAAGCAATAAACATTGTAAGTAGATTTCATGATAGTATACTTAGAAGTTGTTATTATCTTATTTTAGCAATATGCATTGTTTATGCAAGATGGAAAATAATTATCTGAGATGAGCTTGCATTGGGCAATACTGTTAGCAGTTATTCAAATACTGATCGCCCATGATTGTTCTGCACAAAGAATGAAACTTCCAACCTCTCAGTGGTTCTACTATAAAAAGTTTCACAGTTAAAAGAACACCAAAGCCATGCTGCAATAAGTAAACTCTACAACTGAGAAAATGGTTAGAAGAGGATATACTACTTCCTGCCTGTAACTCATCATTGAGTTAGAGAGATCTGGTTTTTATACTTTGTGGGAGCCCACAACTGACTCAGTTTCCCAGTTTGGATCTGAAGTCTATTCTGAGTCAATAGAGTTCAAGCTTGTTTGCTCCAAGACTGTGAGAAAGCTCTGATTAGCCCACAGAGTCTCCTTGAAGGGCTATGAGAAAGTCCTGATTAGCCCACAAGAAGGAACACACTATCTAGCTAGATGTAGGCTGCTAATGCCAGGCACAGGTACATTGAGATAGAATATGAAACTCCCTGCTCCTGATGCAAGGCAGGATAGATAGTGGCTGAATTCCTGTGCTGTGCATTGTTCTACCTCTGTCCTTCAAGACTGTATATAAGCTGGCTGTGAAATAAACTTGGGGCTGTCTGGCATTGACCGGCAGTCCTCTCGACTCTTTTCTGTCTTCTTCATTGTCTCTTCAATCTGCACACCTCTACCCAGCTACCCAGCTGACTGTCGGCAGGCCAGACAAGACTTCAACTAAGGAAGAGGTTTCTGGTGCTCACCTAGATATTATCAACTACTAAGAGGAACCATCAGAATTTCTCATGTTCATATTCTATTCACATGGATTTTTCAATAACAAATTTCATTTTTATTTTTAGTGGTGTTCTCAGTGTATATATGTGTACATATATGCCTATGTGCATATAAGTGCATACACCTGTGTATGCATGTGTATGGGGGTCAGGGGTTAACACTAAGTGTCTTCTTTGATCAACACCTACATTATTTTTTTAATCTGTCCTCCTTTTTTTCTTGTGACTGGTTGCATTTATTTGGGCACACTTGCATGAGCATGGGCGTGGGAGGTTACTGATTCGACAAACGTCAATGTACCAGCGTCCATCTGAATGAGGATACAACTACATATCTTCCAGTGATGATTAACTGCTTCCAGCCCCTCTGAGAGGCTCAAGACTCCATGAGGATCTCTCCATCCCTAACAAAAATGTTGACAGGCACAGGCCCAGTCTTGTGCAGTTTTTATGCAGATATCTATTGCTTCTGTGTGGTCATGAGTTCAACAGCCAGGTCATGTACAGAGGGCATAGTCAGAAATCATTTGTCCCTGTCTTCAGGGTTCTGACAGTCTTTTTGCTTCCACGTTTGTAATGTTCCCTGGCCCTTGGAGTGGGTGATACAGATGCCTTATTTAGGGCTGAGAAATCACCAGTCACGTTTTACTTGTCACCTTTGTCACTTCTCTGACCAAGACTGACAGCACCACTAGTCTATGAGTATAATTATAACTAGAAGACAGTTTAACCTATCTCTTTAACAAAACAAGAATTGTTTGTTCCCACCTAGAACCCCTAGAACCTATGAACACTCCGGTCTTGGTCTTTTAACCAAATATATGGTGTCAGGCATGAGCTCCCTTCAGCTTAGCAGCTCAAAACCCAAAGGCAAATTCATAGATTACCCTCCAAGCAAGCATGCCACCATTGCTGCAGTGGGCACATGGTCCCTAGATCTGCATCGCATCATGTGTAAATCCCTGTTGGTTTTGCTTCCTGAAATATCACCTTTTAACTCTGCGAAAACTGG